CATTATTCCAAACATGAGAAAGCATTCAGCAAACATAACTGGAATCGAGCAAAAGGACTCCCAATCCCAACGGCCAAACCCGGAAATGAAGTGCCGGCATGATTGACTCCAGCTGTAACGCAAATTACTTGGTTCAAACAAACATTCTAGTGCCACCGCACAAACGTGACGACTGTGCAAAAATAACTACATAAAAGACACCACTGTTACAGAAAGACTTTACACGCTATTTAAACTGCCGATCGCGAACGGAACAAACCGTGATTGAAACTAACTGTGATGCCGCTCTTTATTCGTTGCGCTGTCACCTGTCAGTGGCAGACCCGCCCCTTTAAAAGCGCCAGCTTCATCCATCAATATGGGTTTCCCTGGATGAAATTTATTTGATTCCTTCGTGATTTTTGCGGTCCTCGGACCCACTTTATACCTGTGGACAAGGGATTCCAGGCTCTAATCCCTCATTGTGTCCGAGGACCGGCAACCCGAGGCCAAGGCCAAGGCCAAGGACTTGACTCCCAAGGCCAAGGACCAAGGACCGACCTTCGGTCCTCGAGGCCAAGGACCGGCTCGAGGAACCTGATCAGCACACACTGATGGGGGGGGTGTGTGTGTGTGTGTGGACGTGGAAGTCAGAAGTACTACTTCTGGTTGCACAAATAGCTGTCTTTCAGAGTAAGAATATTAGAACCACACAAATGAACACAAAATGAATCAATGCTTAACTCATTCAATACCAGCCAATTCTAGACCCCCCTTGTTTTTTTTTCCCCGAAGTCTTGGAAAAATTGAAAAAAATAAGTACAGTATCTGGGGTTGAATGTGTGGAGTGTGAAAAGACATCTAAATATGTCTTTGGGAGTGAATGAGTTAAGCACCGACATTTCAGAAATAACATTTTCCGAGACAATGAATGAATTTGGGCCCTTGTGTCCCTGCCAATGAAAAACAGACACGGCATGGAGATAAGTCCAGGTCTGCATGTCCTTATCTTCATTCCTCTCCTTTCCAGCGCACGCCTTTCTCCACCTTTCTAAGTGTTCCTCCACCTGCTTCCTGCTGTCAGTGCAGTCAACAATGTGAGCTGCAAACATCGCGGTCCATGGGGTTTCCAGTGTAAGCTCATCTGTCAGCCTCTGCATTACTATTACAAACAGGAAGCGGCTCATAGCTTATCCCTGATACAGTCCCACCTCCACCCTCAACTCCACCATCACACCCGAAGCACAGCTCGCCACTGTGCTCACAGCCCCGAGTCATACAGATTATGTCCTGTCCTATTCTAACATACTTCGTTGCCACTACAGACTTTGTTTTTTGTTTTTTTTATAATGCCATTGTTTTTCGTTTCTTTTTCAGTTGTTGCCATGAATTGGACTGGTGCTCACCAGTCCAATTCATGGCAGCATCATCGCACTTTCATTGTGGAAACATTTGTCAAAACACACGGAACGCTCGTTGTGTTGCAGTTACAGATTCGTTAGCTCTTCAATCTTGGTAGACATGATCCCGTACCAGCTCGAAACACGATCTTTTTATGGTTTCCCAATTTCAGAGCTACTGGATTTGCATTGAAACAAAAATCAACCGGCCAACCTCGCACCGCCAGAACTCAACTTAATTTTAAAAACATAAAACAGAATGGCATTATATGTACTTTTCATTGTGTATTACAATGTCACGCGTCAGCATCAGCGAGAGGTGGTGTTAAATTGGCAGAAGTATTCCTGGGTGGGTTTGTTGGCGTACAGATCCTTGTCCAAATACTGCTGACTGAATGTAAGAGAACACAAAAATGCACAAAAGGTTAGCGGTAAGTAACTTTCTCAGCAGTCTGGATTCAATTTGCTTTTTGTGCTTGTTGCTTACTGTGCTTGTTGCTCTTTGGCCAGCTGCTTGTTGAACTGGTCTGCCTGGATCCGCTTTGCTCTCCTGAGTTCTGCCGTTCTCTTTTCCTCTTGCCGGGCTTCACCGGATGCCTTCAAGAGTTGAGAATTCCAGGCTGCCTCCCGGTTCTTCTCAGTATCACGCCATCTCTTATCATTGATAACAAAGATTGGCTGTTAGATCATCACTGCTTTGGGGCACCACTTCATCAATCAATCAGTCAGTTGTTCGGTGACACATTCGTTCCCCCTTAGATGGCAATTCTATTCGCGATTGTATTCTTTCAACTTTGTGGACAGCGAGCCGCAGCATGGGGTTTAGTGGTTACCAGGTCTGCCTCACAATCAGGAGATCTGTGTTTAAATCTCTCTTGGAATGTCTCTGTGTGGACCTTGCATGGCAATATGCTAAATTGCCCGCAAGTTTCAATATGAGTGAGTAGTTGTTTGCCGATCATTGCTCTGGAGACCACAAAGAAGAAAAAAACCTTCTCAGCCATGTCCAACCCGCAATAGCATTCCTGGAAGAAACCATCCTCCAGCTCTCATGGATGGAAAAGATCTAAAAGGAACTTCCACCGTCAGTCATCTCTGAACATGGAGAAGCATACTACACCATGGCATTGTCTCATCAACCGTCTACTACCTGCAGCCATGTGTTAAGCGTGTTCGTAAATGTTGTCGCTCAGTTACAAGGTACCATCATCGACCTGTCTCTCCATGCATTGTGCCTCCCTTTCCCTGTAGATGGCGCTCAGCTGCTCGGGGCTGATGCCCTTCCACATGTCGGTCGCAGCAGGCTTCCCTTTCTGCAGCTGGCTCACGGCAGCTTCCCAACCCTCTGTCATCATGGTGGATGTCAATGTGTGCCACTTTTCAGCAAGATTCTCCCTCTCCTCTCTCCGACGTGACTCCTGCAGTCGCTCAGCCTGCTCGGTAGCCTGCAAGGAGCCACATACTGTCAGGCCTTGTCTTTCATGTAGTTCATTGATTAATTGTGATGCTTAAAACTTTTGGAGGCACCATCGGTGAGAGTAGGAATTATCATGTATTTCCATTTTTTATATTATTTTGCAATAGACAAAGTGAGAAATGTCTGTCGTCAAGACCAATGAGGAAGTAAACATCAGTGGTGCGCGTGGTCAAGCCGGTGAGTCCGTCAGTATTTTAGGCCGGCCCAGTCCGTCCCAGTTATCGGCGACAGCCCAACAGCATTAAGAACAGACTTACCGGGTGCCACGTCACACACAAGTGGCGCACACCTGACACGTACCCAAATACAGAAAAAATAGAAAAATAAAACCACGTTGTTTACCTTTCTGTCCCACAGACCTCAATGACGTGTGGGGCTCATGTGGATGGGCCAGAAATACTGACGGAGAGAGTGACAGACTGACGGCCCTTCCGTCAGTCTGACAGAATGCCCACCTATGGCAAACAGATCATGCGCTGCAATAGCTGCTGTGTTGGCACGTAGCTGACCCAAACTCTTCTGTCGACAATTAAGTCACACTGGCACCTGTGTCGCTCATATGAAAGCATTTTTACATGATTTGGTCACTTAGCAGTGCTCCAGAATGAAAATGTCAAGCAAAGGTATCTTGTATATTATAATCTACACTGTGTCAAATGCAAGCTGACAGGAAGCTGTTAACGTAATCCCTGCGATCCTTATGCAGGTCACCCAGGAACTTTGGTGGCTTTTATGGCAAAAAAGGCTTGCAGAAAAACGCTCCGTCGTACGTTACCAAATAGATATGAGTTAGTGAGTTGTCAGTGTAAGTCACATCAGATTGGTTTATTGTGTTCAATGTAAAGCGTTTGTATTGGACTGAAGTATGTTGTTTCAGGGATTTTTCGTTTTATTCTAAGACTAATTGCAATGTAAAGTAGGCTTAACATTTTGAGTGGCACCCTTAAAGTTTACATCTTCGATTTACCCTTTGAGACATTTTAGTGTATGAGATGTATATTTTGTTTGCATCTTCTCCTGAAAAACTCCCTCGTTTAGTTGTATTTGCATTTTTACCTGGTGAATAGTGTTTTGAAAATGGCGCCTCACCATGGAAGATTCAGCTGAGCGTGTTCAAACAAGTGCTAAGAGGGTGCCAGCGCACATGAATCAATTTTAAATTAATGATCGACCCAAATGAGCACACTTAGTGTGTGTGTGTGTGTGTGTGTGTGTGTGTGTGTGTGTGTGTGTGTGTGTGTGTGTGTGTATTGTACCAGAGCTTGATTGTAGTGGTCAAGAGCGATCCGGGCAGCTTTTCTGCCTTTTTCCTCAGCACTGTGTAGCTGTCTCCAGCTGTGGTCCTGTTGCAACAGTTCTTTCTCAGCCAGCATCTCTGAAACACACACGTGTTGCAAATCAACACTTGTTCACCCGCTCACACATACATAATGACTCCCTTTGAAGTTTGTCTATCAATGAAACCTCTCCTGGCAACAAGGGCTGGCTGTTAGAGTGAGCGATTGTTTGCACAGGAAGAAATTATGCAGATTTGAGATTATTGTGGGTGTTTTGTTAGAACAGAATAGAATAGAAAGCTCTTATTGTCATCATAGGGTGCGGATACCATGAAATGAATATGTGTTAAATAGACTCTTGTCATAATAACAATAATCAATGCATCTTGGGTTTCTACTCACTTCGGTGCTTGTCCTCAAAACAGCTTCTCTCCTGCTGGACCCTTTGTGCCAGAAGATCTCTTGCTGTTTGTTTCATTTGTTCTCTCTTCCGTTGTGCCGCTCCAATATCTTCGCCCTACGGAGAACACAAATAAGGTTGGATAAGGGTCACTCCTGAAGACCTTCTATGACTCTGTGGTGGCCTCAGCTATTCATTATGGCATAGTCTGCTGGTCAGGCAGAATCTCAGCCCGGGACAGAGAGAGACTGGAGTGACTGGTCAGGAGGGCCAGCTCTGTCCTGGGCTGCTCCCTGGACACTCTGGAGGAGGTGGGCAACAGGAGGATGCTAGCTAAGCTAACAGCTATGATGGACAGACCCTCCAACCCCTCCAGGCCACCCTGACAGCACTGGGCAGCTCCTTCAGCCAGAGACTGATACACCCGCGCTGCAAGAAGGAGAGGTAGCGCCGCTTGTTCCTGCCAACTGCTGTCAGGCTAGTGAATAGACGGTCCTGAAAACCTGGGCTCACCCCCACTCACCCATTTTTAATATGCTTATATTTCTATTTTATATTTATATTTATTGATATACTTTTTGTCTTCTACTTTCTCCGTTTCATAATTTTGCTGCTGTAAATTGGGAATTTCTGCATTGTGAGGTGAGCCCACCTGAAAGGTCTGCATGCTGGAAGGCCCAAGCTCAGCCGCTGGAATAGTGATCCCGAATACCCCCCTCAAGCCACACTTGAGACCGGCATCACGCGAGTCTTCCACACGCTGCTGGATGTTCCAGTACTGAGTCAGGCCAGCGTGTAAAGCTTCACGCACTTTCCTTTCCTCCGTGTCTCTCTGCAACAGCACTTGATCATGCTTCAGTCTCAGCTTGTCTGCAACATGAAGATGCACAGAAATATTATTTCATTTACTCTCCGTGTCATCTTGGCTGTCATTCTGTGTCTTTTACCAAAATCTTTGTCCCTTTCTCGCTCCATTTCTTTGCTGTGTTTTTTCTCCAGCGTTTGTTTGTGCAGTGCATCCAGGTCAAGGCCCATGACACGCTGCCTTGTATTGAAAATTCGAGTCTTGCGTGCAGCCTCGGCAGCCTGTCTCCGCTCCACAGCAGTCTCAACCGATTGGTCAACAGGGAATTGTACTTTGTACATGTTCTCTTTTTTTTTTTTAATCTGTGAGGAGGAACAACGTTGCAATGTTTCTAGTTTATGAATTTGGAAATAACACAATCGTGTCAAGTATTAATAAAGACACAGGCCATACCTTGGTGCATCTGCACAATCTAAGGTGACTCATAGCATAAATGTATAAAAACATTCAAATAATGCACTGTTATAATATGACAGTTGTTGTGTCGAAGTGCACTGCATTTAAAATATTTATCATGTAGCTATAAGTAGTTTAAGATATGAAAACGTATTATAAATTTTTCTCTATTTAAATTACAAATTTATTGATTGTCCTGGATTGTGTTCATAATCGAGTGGTGCATTAGATTTGATTGATCCTCCATCTGTTGCAGCGTAGTAGAAAAAGCAAGAAAAGAGATTAATATTGAGACTTACATGTAGAGAAAATGGAAGGGAAAGGACTGTCTGTACAGTCTTGACTCTTGAGTGTACTGCCTATGTATAGTGGTTTAATCACACAACACTAAATGAAGGCCTGTACTCCGTTTATCCATTATTGTCCACCTGCTGAAATTCTAAAGCAACACTGAAACAGCAATGTATCCATTTGGAATGGAACTCACCCTGTATGATGAAATTTCTTACGAAATAATCAAGACAGTCGCTTGCTTAACACAACTCGGCTGTGTTTGTGGCCCTCGGTATCCATGGTAACACCTAATCTTCTATCAATTAAAAATATTTATCCAATGTTTTAGTTATGTGCTAAGCTTGATAATATACAAAAAAATCCCAGTATTTAGTTACTTATGATTATCACCTGGACTGCATTATAGAAAAAAAGTCAAGACAAAACGCAGCACTTGGAATCTCGCGAGAAATTGCGATGTTACAGCTCTCGCGCTCAAAGCTCTTCCTGTTGCATTGTAAAATGGCGCATTGTTGTCACCTCGGCATCGTGACCGAGTAGTCAAGATTATGATTGAAATGCAAAGATTAACGGCTAGATGCGTGCTACGATGAGATGGTCGTATCGTCCGGCGTCGGACTGAGCAGGGACGTTTATTCGTTTGCGTCCAAGGTTTGTTGTGAGAGCTCTTCCAGTTGACATCGCTTGCTAGCATTAGCCAAAATTAGCCTGTTTTTTTTTTTTTTTTACGTCAGCTGCAAAACCTTCGACGACTGAACTACAACTAGAATGGGTTACTTAAAACTCATAGAGATCGAAAACTTCAAGTCATACAAAGGACGCCAAATTATTGGACCCTTTCATAAATTCACGGCGATCATCGGTCCTAATGGATCTGGTAAGTTTGCCAATGCAAAATGCCGGCAATCGGTGCATCCCGAGCAGAACGACTGCACAGAAAACGCATCGAACTCAGATCTTGTATCCAATATATATTCCGCATCAATAGTCGGCATGACCTGGCCGTGTGACCTGTGCACGCTTTATAGGCACTCAATTAGAAACAATTTGCACAGTGTAGTAATAATACGATTCGTTTTTAATTACTTCGAATGTGCAGTTGACTGTATAATAAAGTCGCCACTGGCGAACACTTCTCACAATCTTAACGTGTCTGCAGGAAAATCTAATCTTATGGATGCCATCAGCTTTGTATTGGCGGAGAAGACCAGTAACTTGCGTGTGAAGACTCTGAAAGATCTGATCCATGGGGCACCTGTTGGGAAGCCAGCTGCCAACAGAGCTTTTGTCAGTATGGTCTATCAGGAGGATAATGGAGAGGAACGCTCCTTCACCAGGATGATCATTGGTAGGAACTTCCTTTGAAAGTCACTTTGTTATGGTCTTCAGTTTTTGTCTGAGACTACTTTTTGAATTTTCTTGAGCATGTTGACATAAACTTGCATCCTTCCAAAATCATCCTGAGCTCTCTGAATTTTTGACTAATTATGTGGCAGGTTCCTCCTCTGAATACCGCATCAACAACAAAGTGGTGGGTTTGCCTGATTACAGTGAGCAGCTGGAAAAACTTGGCATTCTCATCAAGGCTCGAAACTTCTTGGTTTTCCAGGTGAGCCAGAATATCTGTAAGAAATATGTTTTTGTCCTTCCAATGACTCGCAATGCCATCAAATGTATGGGTTGTCAGAGAATTGCATAAAATGCTTTGTGTGAAGGAAGATATTCATTGAAAAAGAGAGTAGTCATTCAAATAAATTGTGTTTTTTACACTTGGTGTTTTGTTCTGATTGTTTCTCTAGGGAGCCGTGGAGTCTATTGCAATGAAGAACCCAAAGGAGCGCACGGCTTTGTTTGAGGAGATCTCGCGCTCAGGGGAGTTGGCCCAGGAGTATGACCGCAGGAAGAAAGAGATGGTGAAAGCGGAGGAGGACACCCAGTTCAACTACCATCGCAAGAAGAACATTGCAGCCGAGCGCAAAGAGGCCAAGCAGGAAAAAGAAGAGGTGAGTCCGTATTTGTGCCGGTCATTCATATACTATGTATTTATTTGTAACCTACTTGTATTTGGACTTTTGGGTTCTAAAAGTCCCACTCTGTTAGTAGAAGGGTTCGATGCCAATATTTACAGCGGTTCGCACGCCAACATTTTCAACTGAAATCAATTTGATATGGAAATAAAAAGTTTTAGATATCATTCATAAAAGTCATGGTTTTGAGTACCATGTAATACACATCTCACTCAAGGGAAAACAGCAAACGTAACCAGCCTGTTGGTTAGCAACAACTAAAAAAAACTCTGTAGAAACAATAGAATAATATTTAAGCGTTTATTAACTTAAATGGTGAATGAGGGATAAAAAATTCCGATGTACCTCATGAATGTGCTTTTTTTTTTTTTTTTTTTTTTTTCTTCTTGAAACTACATTGAATTAACCTGCCACTTTTGTCTCGGCCCTCCCACTTTGATCCAGGCTGAGCGCTACCAGCGACTGAAGGATGAAGTGGCGAGGGCCAGCGTTCAGTTGCAGCTCTTCAAGCTCTACCACAACGAGACAGAGATCGAGAAGTTGAACAAAGAGCTGGGTCAGCGCAACAAGGAGATCGACAAGGACCGTAAGAGGATGGACCATGTGGAGGAGGAGCTGAAAGACAAGAAGAAGGAACTTGGGAGGCTGATGAGGGAGCAGCAGACAATTGAGAAAGAGATCAAGTGAGTTACCACGCTCTTATGTCTCAGTGTAGGGGTCATGCTTGGCTTTCATCTTGCTGATCGCTTGACGTCTGCCCCCAGAGAGAAGGACTCTGAGCTAAACCAGAAAAGGCCACAGTACATCAAGGCAAAAGAGAACACCTCACACAAGATCAAGAAGCTTGAGGCGGCCCGGAAATCGTTGCAGAATGCCCAGAAGATGTACAAGAAACGCAAGGCGGACATGGACGAGCTTGACAAGGAGATGAAAGCGGTGGAGCTTGCCAAGCAAGATTTTGAGGAGCGCATGGAGGAGGAGGCGCAGAGCCAGGGCCAGGACCTTACCCTGGAGGAGAACCAGGTACCATAAGTTTGAATTTTGCATGTAGTGTATTCATATTGCAAAATAGTGTTTCCCCACCTTTATTGAGCCAGGACACATCTTTTACATTAGAAATGTATGTAACGGCACACCAACCAAAGTGTAAACTGAGGTAATGTTGGTATTGCATTGGGACTCATTGACAGATAATTAAAACCAGGTTTCCATAGAAGATGTGGTAGGGACATCCCTAGAAAGTGGACAGACCTAATGTAAAAGACTCGAAATAATCATGTGCGTTTCACTTGTAGGTCAAGCAATACCATCGACTGAAGGAAGAGGCCAGTAAACGTGCTGCCACCCTGGCTCAGGAGTTAGAGAAGTTCAACCGAGACCAGAAAGCTGACCAGGACCGCCTTGACTTAGAGGAAAGGAAGAAAGTGGAGACCGAGGTAACAAAGGCACTATGCACCTGTGCAACATTTCAATTCAAGCAACTATAAATGACCATGCCCCACTTTTCCAGGCCAAAATCAAACAGAAGATTCGTGAGATTGAGGAGAACCAGAAGCGCATTGAGAAGTTAGAGGATTACATCACCACCAGCAGGTGCGCCACACTGCACTGAGAAAAGTGCTTTGAATCGTGGGACCTCATTTGTTTTCGCTGTTACTGCGCAGGCAGTCTCTGGATGAGCAGAAACGCATGGAGGAGGAACTGACTGAGGAAGTGGAAATGGCCAAGAGGAGGATTGATGAGATCAACATGGAGCTCAACCAGGTAGGCGCAGTAGCACACACACACGCACGCTGTCACGCGTTACTGCGTCTTCAGATGTCATCATTGTCATGTGTTTTTCACCAAGGTCATGGAGCAGCTTGGCGATGCCAGGATCGACAGGCAGGAGAACAGTCGACAGCAACGGAAGGCTGAAATCATGGAGAGCATCAAACGACTGTACCCTGGCTCAGTGGTGAGGAATTCATTCTTTCTAATGTGTAAATGAATTTCACGTGACTGATGTTGGAGACACGGCGTTGATTGTTCTTCTTTCTGCAGTATGGTCGCCTGATTGACTTGTGCCAGCCCACTCAGAAGAAATATCAGATTGCTGTGACCAAAGTTTTGGGGAAGAACATGGACGCCATCATTGTTGATTCCGAGAAGACAGGCAGAGATTGTATCCAGTACATCAAGGAGCAGCGAGGAGAGCCTGAGACCTTCCTGCCCCTTGACTACCTGGAGGTGAATGGCACACGCCATGATTGCAAATCGGTAGCCTTAGTTTGTGCTTAGTTGCGTTTCTGCCCGGTAATGATGCGATTGTTTTGCCCTCTCGGGGACGAATAATCGCCCCAAAAAATGGAAGTGCTGACATACCGTTGCATACTTTACCTCACTTCAGTATAAGCGGATCAGATAATGGATGGATGGATGGATGGATGGATTTCCTGAGATGCAAGCGAACTGTTTAGAGTCATTACTAAAAAAATACTTGATTCTGTGTGTTAGAATTAGCTTGAGAACAAACCCATTCGGTCTTTTGAACATTTGAACTGTCTGAGAAGTGTCGCAGAGCTCCGCCTCTTTCTTACTCCTCGGGAGCCATGCGGCATTGTGTCGCCTCCAGTTTGAAAGTGTGGATCGTTTTTTAGACAGTAATGAATGAAAATAGTTGGGTTAGGCAGATTTAAGTAAGTTTGTTTAGTTAGAAATGTGTGTTTAATGCACAGCATGTTTGCACTGAGGATTGAGAGGAAGAAATCTCATCTATGCTGCATGTCACACATAAAGCATATTTGACAATAAAGATGACCTTGACCTTGACAACTGGAATGCTTCGGTGAAAGCGCGTCAGTCCCTGCAGATTCATTGCTGCCTAATAAACTGCTTAGTCAGCTCATTGTTTTATTTATTGCATCACTCATGGCGAAACATTAAATGCATTTTGTCAGGTGAGGTGTTGGCGTGACTGTGAATAAATTAGCTTTATATTTTTATTTTTTGTTCTTATTATTGGCTAATGAAGTAGATTTTCACTTGACTTTATTTTGAACGTGTGCTGTCCGTATTATTCTTTTCTAGCGTTTGTTTTCTTGCTTTGATTGTAAAGTGTCCTTGAGTGTTTTGAAAGGCGCTTATAAATGTATTATAAATAAAATAAATAAAAGTATTATTATTATTATTATTATTGTCTCATCACAGGTGAAGCCAACTGACGAGAAACTTCGAGAGCTACGAGGAGCCAAGCTGGTGATTGATGTGATCCGCTACGAGCCTCCTCACATCAAGAAAGCTCTGCAGTACGCGTGCGGCAATGCTCTGGTGTGTGATAATGTGGAGGACGCTAGGAGGATTGCTTTTGGAGGCCCATACAGGCACAAGGTACTGTCCGCATTTGTTAACTGTTCTCCATGG